TTAAAAAGGTGACACCAAAAAAAAAAAAGACTTAAAACAACATTAATTTATAATGGTATTTGGTCGTTATTGTTAAAATGGCCTGACATATTGTCATCCAAGAAGTTGTATAGAGAAAGTCATTAACGATTAGGTTCTGTATGACTCCTGTTATGAAAACCGGACTGACCTGGTTGGTCCAACTAGTTGGATTGTTTCAGAAGCTTTGGCTGGTTTGGTCTAGAACAAAAATTGAGTTTGGTTAAAAATAATCAAAACCGATATTTCCATTTTGTCAGTTTGGATTGGCCACGTGATGTTGAGCAACTTCCCATTCCAACATATTTCAATTTTTTGAGTTATTCTTCCTATATTTTCTTTATTTCTCAAAATATCATGTTGAACTGGACTAATTGGTTGTTGGGTTGATTTTGAGCAGATCAGACCTCAACTAGTTTAGTAACCAATTCAATTCTAATAGCTTTGGTTATAATAATTATTAAATTAAGGATGGCAATGGGCTAGGATGCCTAGCGTCACCCACAGCTTTCATATGTAGTGGCCGATGAGTCTAAGCATACCGTGGCTTGGCCTCACTGGGCCCATTGTCATCTCTAAAATTTATAATGTTTTTGGGCAAAGTATAATGTGATCTATATGGCCAGCATAAATCAATGACCATGAAGATCTGCTGGAGGAGGGGATCCTACCATATGATTCAATTTTGTATGTGACCCACTTTAACTTTCTCTCTAGCAAGGTCCAACCAATTGATCCGAACGGTGATAAATCACATGGTCAAGGTTTACGGTTGCAATGATAATGGGGATCATATTATATTATCCTTGTGTCTTATAAAATGTTGCATCTAAACTTCCAATTCAGACCTAGGACAAATCATCCTTTTTGTGCTTGTAGGAAAAAAAAGAAGGGAGCATATGGGAAGGGTTACCTGAAAAGGGAAGTGGTCGGGCCCACGTGCAGGAGCAGAGTTGATCTGAACCGTCCCTGTTTCCATTGCATCGCTTATCAACATTGCCTTGTTGATGTCTTTTGTGAATACAGAACCCTAAATAGAGGCAAATCACTTAGGGACCCATTTGGATTGTTCACCATTTGCACTATGATAATAAAATTTCATTTCAAACACAATGTAACAGCACCATAATAAAGTTTTGACTTAGATTAAATCAAATTATTTGTTGAAGGGGTATTTGAATAGCAAAAGCGCAATCAAACCATCTATCTCAAGAATGGATGGTGATGCCAAACATACAATGTGTAGAGTATACATTCCATACCTGAAGGCCAAAATTGCTCGCATTGCAGTGGTGGATGCCTTCCTCCACAGAGGTGATCCTTATGACTGGCAACACTGGTCCAAATGGCTCCTCCCATGCTATCCTCATGTCGGGGCGAACATGATCCAAGAGCAATGGCCATATCAAGTTGCCCTCTCTCTTGTATTCTTGGCAAAATGTGGCCCCTTTTTCCTTTGCGTCCATTACTAACCCCTCTATGAAGTTTGCAGATGACTCCGAGACCACTGACGTTATGTCACAGTCTTCTTCTGGTGGACCCACTGTGAGTTTGCTCACCTTGGCGTTCACCTTCCCCACCAGAGTGTCTGCTACAGACTCCATCACTAGAACCACCTTAACCGCAGTGCATCTCTGGCCACTGTATAACCAAATTCCGGCAAAATTTTAGAAATTGATGAAAAACATGAAAGAGAGGAACACACTAAAAAAAAGAACATGTTGAAAAATCAAAGGAGGTATTTCGTTCCCTAACAGTTTAGGAGACATGAAGTTTCAATGAATGCAGATTATTTAGAACTTTGACATTCTAAAAATTTATAACCAAGCTAACATTTTCATGCAAGCAATTTTTTCTAATGTTTTTATTTTATTTTTCTACAATAAAAATATAAAGAAACGTTGAATCTAAGAGAGAGGCATATAAGCAAGCCACATTGTAAACTAGATTTTTTTTTAATGATTATAAACTACAATTTTTGTTCATCTTTTAGGTGCATTTTTGGCTGTTAGCTTTTCTTTTTCTTTATTTGAGTAGTGCAGCAGTAGGTTTCAAACGTGGGACACAGTGTTAATTGTCCACACCTTAACCGATCAATCCCCTTCCCAAGTCAATTGTTGTTAGCATTTTGATGACAGCCATGCCCCTTCATGACTGGACCAAAGAAGGATCGCAGAACCCAAGAGGAAAAAAAAAGGCAATGACATAATAAAGGAAAATTATTAGGGTTATTTATTAAGATTATTTTAATTATTCTTTTGCTTAGGGAGTGCGCAGGGATAATTCACAGGGAAACTTTAGAGTTTATATTGTGTTTATCTTGTATCGATTGGGTTTGTTTAAGGGATATAATTAGGATAAGGGTCAATTTAAAAGACAGTTTATCTTTATCAACTATAACCAACTTGGGAGGTATTTTTTGGGTAAAACATAAGAGGGAAAACGTGGCTCTCTAGAAGCCTGTGAATATGAGAGAGAGAAAATAAGGATAGGTGTTGAGATAAATTTTTTATTAGTTATCTTATTTTAATTTATTTAAAGGGACATCTCCTTTCAGTGTAAATCAATCTATGAATTGAATAAAAATTGGTCTCTTGAAAGAGATTGTTTTGGGGGTGGATTCCCTTACAAACCTTTGAGAGAGGGTATTTTTCTTTTAACCTTCCTTTTTTTTATTGTCAATTTTCTGGTTTTATTCTCTCTTTTCATCAATTGGTATCAGAGCCAGGTTCCGATGGCTTCACAAGAGACACCCCTCGATGGATTAAAGGTATTGACTGGATTAGTTTAAGCCCTAGCAGAGAGAGTAGACCAATTCATGCCTGTAGCTGCAAAAGTCGATGAGCTTGCGCAAACGTTCGCTCAACTTCAGGATGGAAGGAATCCGGAGACTGGCATTGGAACTCAAGGCAACGGAGATGAAAGATGTATGCATCTTGCTCCTAACCAACCTCGGGTGGCCCGGCTAAAAACGAATTCAATGAACGACTTATTCGGTTGTTGGAACGAGAAAGAGAACCTGGAATAAAAATTGATATTCAAGAGTTCAATGGTCGATTGCATGCAGATGATTTTCTTGATTGGCTAAGCAAAGTAGAGAAAGTATTTGAGTACAAAGATATTGCCGATCACAAAAAACTAAAATTAGTAGCTACAAAATTTTCTAGCCATGCATTGGTTTGGTGGGATGATTTGCAACAAGATCGTCTTCGACAAGGCAACGAAAAGATTAATTCGTGGGAAAAGATGAAGATGAAGATGCGTCGAAAATTTTTACCAGTAAATTATGCCCGAACTTTGTACCAAAGGTGTCAAAACCTCAAGCAAGGTGAAAAGTCGGTAAATGACTATACTAAAGAGTTCTATATTTTGACATCTAGGGAAAATTTACAAGGGTATGAAGATAAAAAAATAAGTCGTTACTTGAATGGGCTAAATCAAGGCATTCAAAATGAATTGGCCTTCAAAGATGTCTATAAGATGTTTGATGCCTATACTTTGGCCCTCAAAGAAGAGGAAATAGTCAATATGGGCTTTGGGAGAAATAGCTCAGTGACAAGAGGCTTTACTTCAATACAGGGGCAACAAACTTTAACCTTTAGAAGACCACCTGTAGGGCGTGAAAACCAAACTTCTCAGAATTTTCCAACTAGGCGAGAGAGGTGGTGTTGGGAGGTTGGGAGCACCTAAAACACTTCGTGATAATACACAAATAGTGTGTTTCAAGTGCCAACAGCCTGTAAATATGGCATTCAATTGCCCCTCACGTCAACCACTTGTCAAAGTTAATTTGGCTGAAGAAAATTATGAAGAAGAAATTGATGAAGGATACACCTATGAAGGCCAAGGTGATATTGGGACGAGCCAGTCTTATGAAGGGACTGGGTCTATCAAAGGTGAAGTTGAGGATTTGTATGGAGATGAAGAGGGTGAAGTCTTAGTTGTCCAGCAAATATGTTATCAACCCCAATACTTAACGAGGATGAGAAGTGGCTGCGACATAATATTTTTTGAACAATTTGCACATCAGGAGGCAAGTTATGCACAGTACTAATTGATGGCGGGAGCAGTGCAAACATTGTGTCTAAAGAGATAGTGGTTAAACTTCAATTGAAGGAACATAAGCACCCACGCCCATACCACATCCAGTGGTTCAAGAAAGGAGGTGATGTATCAGATCTTACTCGTTGTTTAATCTCTTTTTCCATTGGTGCTAATTACAAAGATAAAGTGTGGTGTGATGAAGCACTTATGGATGCATGCCACATATTACTTGGTAGACCATGGCTTTATGATCATGATATAGTGCATAAAACTAGGCCAAACACTTATTCTTTTGTTAAGGATGGTATTAATATAATACTCCACCCTATGAAGCAACGTCCTACACCCAAATCCACTAAAGAAGAGGGTGCAAAGTTGCTTAATGTTCAAAAATTAAAAAAGGACAGCAAAGATATCGATGTGATTTATGTATTGGTTGCAAATGAAAATTCTGTACCGACTGCAATTCTTAAGTCTCTTGAACCTCTACTTGATAAGTATAAAGATTTGATGCTTGAAGAATTACCTGATGGTCTTCCTCCAATGAGAAATATTCAGCATCACATTGATTTGGTGCCCGGATCTAGCCTACCAAATTTGGCCCATTATCGAATGAGCCCTATGGAACATGAGGAGTTGCACATACAAGTTGTTGCGTTGCTTCGAGAAAGCATGTCCATGTGCCGTCCTTGCATTACTGACTCCAAAAAAAGATGGGTCATAGAGGATGTACGTGGACAGTCGTGCAATCAACAAAATCACAATCAAATGCCGATTTCCCATACCTAGGCTCGATGATATGTTAGATATGTTTAATGGAGCCAAGGTTTTCTCAAAGATTGATTTAAGGAGTGGGTACCATCAAATTTGGATTCGACCTGAAGATGAATAGAAAACTGCATTCGTAACTCGAGATGGACTATATGAGTGGCTTGTGATGCCATTCGGCCTTTCTAATGCACCAAGTACATTCATGCGCTTAATGACTGAGGTACTTCGTCCTTTTATTGGAAAATTTGTTGTGGTTTATTTTGATGATATCTTGGTTTTTAACGCTAACCTATATGATCATCTTAACCACTCAGAACAAATTTTTGATGTGCTAAGGAAGGAATCATTTATTGTGAATTTGAAAAAATACTCATTTATGATAAACAATGTCGTCTTTCTGGGGTATGTTGTTTCATCTGAGGGAATTAAGGTGGATCGAGAAAAAGTGAAAGCCATAGCTGAGTGGTCGGTGCCAAAGTCACTCACTGAGGTGCGTTCTTTTCATGGCCTAACGACTTTTTGTCATCGATTTATCATAAATTTCAGCACTCTAATAGCACCAGTGACTGATTGTATGAAGGCTGGAAAGTTTTAATGGAATCCCGCTGCTGAAAAGAGCTTCACTCTAATTAAACAAAAGATGATGCATACTAGATTTTTCTAAGGTGTTTGAAATTGAAACTTATGCATCAAATGTTGGCATAGGGGCAGTTCTAAGTCAAGAGGAACGACCATTGGCCTTCTTTAGTGAGAAATTGAATGATGCACGTAAAAAGTATTTGGTTTATGACCTCGAGTTTTATACAGTGGTGCAAGTCTTACGCTACTGGAGGCACTACTTGATTCATAGAGAATTTGATCTATACTCAGATCATGAAGCAGCCCGGTATTTGAGTTCCCATAAAAAGTTGAATGCACGACATGTTAAGTGGATGGCCTTCCTTCAAGAATACACCTTCTTATTAAAGCACAAGGCTGGAACACAAAATAAGGCAGCTGATGCTTTAAGTAGAAAGGTAGTGTTACTTAGAACTTTGTCTATGGAAGTGTTGGGGTTTGAAGTGAAAAAAGATCAATATAAAGTTGATCTAATTTTCAGCAAGGTCCTTGAAAGGTGTGTTGATGGGCGAGAACCTATGGGTGAGTATCTCGTGCATGATGATTGTTTATTTAAAAGTATGCGGTTATGTATACCTGATTGCTCCTTAAGGGAGAAGATAATCATGGAGCTTGGGTGGACACTTTGGGAATGACAAAACTATGGCTATGGTTGGAGAAAATATTTTTGGCCACGTATGCAATAAGATGTTGATCGATTTGTGACCCAATGTCGAACTTGCCAAGTATTTAAAGGTCACACACAAAATACAGGTCTTTATACTCCTCTTCCTGTTTCAGATGCCCCTTGGGTTGATATTTCTATGGATTTTGTACTTGAACTTCCACGTATCACACGAGGTATGGACTCTATTTTTGTTGTTGTTGATCAGTTTTCCAAAATGGCACATTTTATTCCTTGTAGAAGAACTATGGACGCTATACATATCGCGAATCTCTTTTTCAAATATATTGTAAGGCTACATGGTGGTTCTAAGTCTATTACATCTGATCAGGATAAAAAAATTTGAAGTCATTTTTTACGCACTTTATGGAAGCGCATGGGAACTAAAATTCAATTTTCTATTGCCTATCATCCTCAAACAGATGGGCAGACCGAAGTAGTGAATAGAAGCCTTGGTAACCTCTTGAGGAGTATTATTGGAGATAACATATCTCAGTAGGACCTCGCTTTGCGTCAGGCTGAGTTTGCTTACAACAGTTCAATAAATCGATCTACAGGAAAATCACCATTTGAGATTGTTAATGGGCGGACGCCTAATCATGTGTTGGACCTAGTGCCATTACCCATGCCACGCAAGATAAGTGATGACGCCAATGCTTTTGTTGAGCATATTCGAGATTTGCAAGCCCAAATATAGAAGAAAATTGAGGAGAGCAATGCAAAGTATCAAAAAGCCTCAAATGAGCATAAAAGAGATAAGATTTTCAAAGAGGGTGACTTAGTAATGGTGTATTTACGAAATGAAAGGTTTCCGTTGAGAACGTATAATAAACTCAAGTCCAAGAAAGTGGGTCCTTGCCGCATCTTGAAGCAATATGGGAACGATGCATATAAGGTAGAATTACCAAAAGCATTGGATATCTCCCCGATATTTAATGTTGCTGACTTATTTGAGTTTCATAGAGACCCTCTAGAAATCACAAAAGATGTAGTTGATATGATGAAGAAATTACCAAGGAAGAAAGATGATGAAATTGAGCAAGTTTTGAAGACTGAAAGCTTTCAAACTCGAAAGGGTTCCTATCGGCAATTTCTAGTCAAATGAAAAGGCAGGCCATACTCTGATAGCACGTGGATTTCCGAGCCAGAGTTCAAAAGAGTGGATCTAGACTTATATCGCATATATACTGAAGCCAACTCGTCGGAGTCGAGTTCCTTTCAACTGGGGGAATGATGGCCCTTCGTGACTGGGCCCAAGAAGGGTCGCAGAACCCAAGAGGGAAAGAAAGGACAATGACGTAATAAGGAAAAAATATTAGGATTATTTATTATGATTATTTTAATTAGTCTTTTGTTTAGGGAGTGAACAGGGATAATTAGCATGGCGACTTTAGAGTTCATATTGTGTTTATCGTGTATCGATTGGGTTAGTTTGAGGGATATAATTAGGATAAGGATAAATTTAAAAGAGAGTTTATCTGTATCAACAATAAAAAACTTGGGAGGTGTTTTTGGGTAAAACACGAGAGGGAAAACGTGGCTATCTAGAAGCCCGTGAATATGAGAGAGAGAAAATAGGGATAGGTGTAGAGAGAAGCTTTTTGTTAGTTTTTTTATTTTAATCTATTTAAAGGGACATCTCCTTTCATTGTAAATCAATCTATGAATTGAATAAAAATTGGTCTCTTGAAAGAGATTTTTTTGGGGGTGGATTCCCTTGCAGACCTTTGAGAGAGGGTATTTTTCTCTTAACCTTCCTTCTTTTTATTGTCAATTTTCTGGTTTTATTTTCTCCCTGCATCACATTTCCATGGTGTCCATTGCTAATAAAACTTAAAGGGGACCGGAGAAAACTTTCAACCTGTACGAGAAACCTCCCTTGACGATGTTGGCAGCAGCCAAGTCCAAATCCGCATCTGCCAGCACAATGCAGGCGTCTTTCCCCCCCAATTCCATCTGAAGAGGGATCATTCCAGCCTTCTTCGAAATTGCAATTCCAGTATCACCACCAGTGAAACTATAAGAGAAATAGATCAAGAGAACATTAGACAAACACATGGCTACTAACCAAGATTTTAAAACTTCAGGATTTTCAAACAACTCTGGTTAGAGGCCAAAGTGATATTTTAAGATGAGAGATTCAGCCCATCTTTCTGCTCAAGTTATTCTTGCAAATAGTGTTAAGTAAAATTATAGGTTACATGGTCGAAATCCAGAATCTAGCTGCTCTGAAATTTTTAGAAGAAAATCAAATCAATATTTTCTCTATTTCAAATTATAGCAAAACAGTCAATACAGGAAAAGTTCAGAAGCTTTGGGATGCGTCTACCTTATACAATTAACGCCAGGGTGCATGGTGAGGAAATCTCCTATCTCGGATCCTTTACCCGTGACACAGTTAATGAGGCCTTTAGGGAACCCAGCAAGATGGAAGCAATGTACCATGTGTAGAGCAGCCACAGCACCCTGAGGAAAAAGCATGGTTGTTAACCTATTTATTAATGGCTATGAAAATGGGAAAGCTCCACCAGCCAAAAGTTGGTTCATGATAACAGGAATTTGGACAAAATTGACCAACTCCAAGAAAAAAATACGATAAGTTTAAGTTAGAATTTGCTTAAAAGCCCACAAATTTCAGTCCAAGATTCAGCAATGTTTCCCAAACAGGATGATATTAAGATGGCTATAAACTTGAGTCTTGGGGAGATTACTAGTCCATGTAATGGACAAATTTAATCAGGATTACGCACCAGCACCCCAAATGATTGGGCATGGAAATTTGAGAACTTTGTTAAATAGAAATTTAACTATCACATTAATCTTAAACTTCAACCCCACATTTAAACTACATGAAATAGTCAATACGAACCATCCAAATGTTTATACTAAAGCAAGAAAAAGTAAATCTTGGACCCTGATTATTGGTACTCAGAATCAAGATGAGCATGCATAGATTTATAACTAAATAACAACAAAAAGTATAAATTGGTAACTAAATTTATATGTATTCACCGAAAAAAAAAAAACTAAAATCAAATGTGTTCGCAAGTTCAGAAACAGAAGAAGTAATGAACATATATTCTGTATTCTAAAAGATTTATTGAATGTGTCATGCTACCAAGAACACGATCCTGTTCATAAACGTAGTTGGGTTCGTTGAAGGATATTCCTACATACACATCCGTTGCCGCAGAGAGCATACCTGTGTTGGTGGCTTAAGTACAATTGCATTTCCAGCAATCAGAGCAGGAGCAACTTTAGATACAGCCAAGTTAACAGGATAGTTAAAGGGTGGAATTGCAAGAACAACACCCAAAGGAACCTGCATTTAATTGGCAGAAGTAAGTACTTTTAGTTAAAAGAAAAACGACTTGCCCTCTCTTTCTAATTGATATCAAAGGATACATAGTTTAAACTTTCTGATGATTAATTCCAAAATTCAAAGATGAGACAATGTATGAATTAAGATAAGCACAGATTTATCAAAATTTAGGAAAATTGAGCAAGAATTTGAAATTGGATTGGTTATTAACTGAAGTATTGAAGATTTGAAGTCAGCATATTAAGTGCATTTTTATTCTTGAAACTGGTGATTCAATGAATGTTAGATTATGTATGGTACTATGTATAAATGTTATATAGATAGAGTTTTGTTATCATTCGCTCATTTCCTCTACACGTTCACTTACATTTAACGAAAATGGTTTGATAGAGCTGCAGCCCCCTATCAAGGTAACTAAAGCCTCACCTCATAACTCATCGAAAATTACAATTCAAGCATCGGAAACCTTTACATCAATCATCTTGGCTTGAACATTGTGGTTATGAAAAAAAAAAGATTTCAAGCTCTAAAAATAATGTATATAGTAACAAATTATCTAGACCGTCCATTTCTCCCTAACAATAAGTGTTTACAAATCTACAAGATTTGTACCATTTTTTTATTTTCAAATTTTATTGTTGGTGTTGGAAGTTGATTTTAGAGCCATAATGGAGATTTCCTTTACCTAAAGTGCTAGGTAGTAGTACCAACGAGCCCTATGATGAAATCTCTGACTCTACCCTCACCAAAAGCAGGAACCTAAATCCCCACTGACTTGCCTTCTTTTTTTTTTCTTTTCTTTTCTTCTTCTTCTCTTCTCTTTTATTTTTTATTTTTTTAAGTGCTTTCCGGATGAAGATTTGATGTGGGGCTTTAGTCTTCATAGAAACCTCATCCCTCCTTAATGAATCTATTTGAATTTGAGAATAATTGTTTGGCGTATATGGTATGATCCCCAGGAGCATACTGGAGACTAAGGCAAAAAAGTTACTAGGGAGATTTTTATTTTACCTTAAATTTTTTGATCCACCAAGAATTACTAGACGATTATTTCCATGAAAAGAAATTGGATTTCGAGTTCTTCAATGCTTAGATCTTGCCTTCCAAGAAAAGAAGTTCCTCTTCATTCTTGAGATGTTATTTTTATTTTTATTATTATTTTTTAAGGTTAGTCGCTAGGTGCAATAGGTTTCATCCCCAAATTTGGGATCCTAAAATTACTCCTAGTTTGGGCTTCAATCGAAGGAGCAAATGAACAATACACTGCCGTGGAGCAACAAATATTTTCATTCCTTTTCTTTTTTCCCATTTGAGTGAGCAATGTGAAAGATGCTAAGATTCAATTAAAAAAATGAAAAATGGTTTGACACAGATCTATCAAAACAAGTGAATCTTCACCTCATAACTCATCAAAAATTGCAAGTCAAGCATTAGAAAACTTTTGCATCGGTCATCTCGACTTGAACAATATGATTGTGAAAAAGAATAGGATTTAAAGCTCGAAAAATAGTATATATTATAACAAATTATCTAGACTGTCCATTTTGTTGTAAAATAATCACAAATCCGCAAAATCTGTACCATTTTTTAGTTTCAAATTTTGTTGTCGGTGTTGGAAATTGATTTTAGAGATTTGAGGTGAGGATTTATTTTGTTTTCTTAAAGTCTAGGCCTTATAGAAACCTCATCCATAAAAAATATGCTTATTATATGAATAATGATAACTTAGGGCCTATAATAGATGGGAAAGCATATTATAATAGCATAGTGTATGTTATTTTCACATTAAAGAAGTTATATCCCACGAGTCTAAGGTTTATTTTAACCGTGGGTAAAGTCCTTGAAGACAAGAAAAAAAAAAAAAAGTTTATTTGAGATTACATTTCAAATTAAACAAAGGCACTGTTTCTTACTTCTAAGTAGAAACATTTTATTTGAAAAGAATACTTCATGATACGCACTTACCTAAAATCTCTTTGATAGAATCCTCTTGATTTTGACTTCTTTCATTTTTTATTTTATTTTTTAGGGAAAGTGTTTGGTGAGTTGGCCGACTCATATGGTCACCCTACAAAATATATGTGAAGATGTAATTTCAATCCGAAATTTTAGAGTTTAATGATCTCAATCATGACAACGATCTAAATTTAAAACTTTTCTTTTTCAAAAAACATAATTTTTTTTTCGAATTCCTTTTTTCACCATCCGTTTAAACTTTAAGTGGCCTTTTTCACCATCCGTTCAAACTTTAGGTGGATGTAATGCTTTTTGACATCAAGTGGATGTAATGTTTTCTGACATCCCTATGTAATGTTTTTTTTTTTGACATCCATCTCGAACGTTAGATGGACAAGGGACTAACATGTTCTTTTGGGTGAGTAAGTAGGGATGGCCCTACCCTTTGCAAGAATTGAGCCTAGTAGGTAGAGTTGCAGATCGCCGAGCGCTGACCAATTAAGCCCCTGCTCTTTTCCTAGCACTGTTGATTCACTCGAGAGTAAAACCCTATCTTAGAGTATTTTAGGATCCCAACTTTTGGTCATCAAACTTAAATCAACCAAACAACCCAATCTCTAAGTAACAAGTTTGAACCTAGTTAGCAAGTTGGGGACTTTCAATAAATCGGTTAACCTTAAAATCAGAAAAAAATCGTTTTTATTTTAAAAAGTCGGATGAAAAAATCGGATAAAAAATATGAATCAGCAAAAATATTTCATGTAAACATATCACCAATATATCGGACTAGGGTCAAAAAATCGGAGTAAAAAAATCGGATAAATACATATAAAAAAAATACACATATCAAACCTACTTAAATACATATAAAAAAAAATATACCATATAAATTTTCTCATTAACTACTTTAGCAAATATCGCACCCGCTTAAGTACATATCAAAAAAGACACGATTTTTTTTATCATCAAATACTTTAACTATGATATAACAACTTTATAACTATGTTTAGTGATTAGGGTTTATACTTTATATACACGCTTGCATTTGGGTTTGAGTCCTCTGTTTTTACTTTCTAGAGAGAAAAGGCGTGGAGAAGAGAATGAAAGAATGAGGGAATTGCTAACACAGTCTCTAACGTACACGGGCTGAAAGTGGAGAATAAACTATGCAAGCATCTCTCTTTCTCTCTCTAATTTTTGTTGAACAATACTTTCTATCTCTAAATTAAATCTTCATTAATTTTTTCACCCAACTTTTCACTTTAGAATTAAGCTCACTCTCTCTTCCACTCAATGTGCTCCTGTCATTGTCTTCCTTATTTATTTATTTAACAAAGTCGCTTTTTCTCTCGAACCAACTTTCTTGGTTCTCTCTGTCCTGCAATTTGTTTCCTCTTTGTTGGAGTTTTAGAGAGAGAAAAAGAACGATTTGATTAAGTTTGAAGGTGTTTCGGCTCTTTCTCCCTCTAATACAATTTGTTTCCTCTTTGTTGGAGTTTTAGAGAGAGAAAATGAATGATTTGTTTAAGTTTGAAGGTGTTTCGGCTCTTTCTCCCTCTAAAACTGGGGCATTGATGGACGAGGGGGATTTGGGTGAGGGAGTTTAGAGAGAGATAAGGGATGGATGATGGGGAAAGGAAAGAAGAGAGATGAAACCTTCTTATTGAAGTTGAGTGTGGCCTTTGCCATCTCATTGGCTGGTACCTCTACTCCCGTATCAAGACCAAGATCAATCCACCACCTCCTCTCTCTCTAAGATTCAAATAATTCCTCTCTCTCTCTGCTCTATGTGATTTCAATGTTCCTCTCTTTGTATATGTCTATGATCTTCATTGAATTTCATTTTTTTGTCCCATTTTATTAGTTTTTCAAAAAATCACATTTTTAACGATATTATGAAAAATACACGTTTTTTTGACAAACTTTTCAAAAAACCAGTGATTACAACATTTTCAAAAAATTCTCTGATTTTTTGAAAAATTCGGCGACTAATCGCCGAATTGCCTAACTATAGATAAATGGATTGTAGTATGGGTGTGGTTTCTACAAGCATCAACCTTAAATAATCAAAACTTACCCAAAAAAAAAAAAGCCATTAATAATCAAAGTAAAAGGTCTAAACTATGCTAGAAGATGCATAATAAGTGCCGAATAGCTATGTAATTATCTAAAAAACTATTTTCATCCTTAATTATAAAATTTAAAGCTTAAAAAATAGTGTAGATTAAACAAATTTATAAATACTTAAAAATATTGAAAATGAGCAGTATAAATAATATATATTATTAGTTGCACTATTTCATGACCTAAAATCATTTTTTTGTCTTTTCATATCCATGCACATCGAGATCTAGATGATCGATTAGATTGATTTCTAGAACCAAAGTATGCATTTTTGTGGTTTTTGAGGTACACCTTACTTCTACAGTTACTTCTACAGTACAAACGTGACAACATATATAAACTTTTTGCCTTGAGTATTTGGAACTCAAAAGTTCAATTTTTTTTTTTTTAAGGGGCCGTTTGGTTCCATGGAGATAGGTAGACCCATTTCCATGGAATCACCTCATATAGGTTGTTCGGATGCCCTCCCATTTATACGTTGAGACTGATTTGGACGTTTTTAAGTATTTTTTTTGTGGAAATATCAATTCCATCAAAATAAGTAGAATTAATATTTCCAGGAGATTGAAAGAGAGCAATGGGCCCCAAAAACTTGTGTAAGTTATATTTTATAGAGTTGGTTGAGGCCCACCCAATAAAAAGGACTTCAAACCCTAGAGCTATATAAATCATCACCATCATCACAACTTTTTTTCAATTATTTGAAATCGGATACATGAATCATAGTTTGTCATTTAC